CCAGGCGCGGCCGATGCGCCCCCGCCGCTTTCTCCGCTTGAGCACCCAAAACGCGACTGATGACGTCAGCGCTTGGAAGCAGGTTACGGCAAAGGGCCCCGTCCCGTGCAGAGGGACGATTCCCGCCGGACACACGGGCTGTACCCAAGAGCCCGGCAGGCTTTCCCCCTCCCGCAGGCGGGAACGGTGGAAGGCGGCCGCTGCCCGCATCCACACACGCATCTCCAGCACCACGCTCCCACGCAAAGAGCGGTGGAAGCAAGGAAAAAAGAAATGGAGGTGAAGGTGCGCCTCCAGCCAACCCGAGGAGGTATTCAAACGGTGGGGGAAATCTTTAAACCGGAGGGATTGCTTACAAAAATAACCAGCTTCTTCCATAATAAACCTCCAGGTCCGACTGTCACGCAGTTGGAGCGCTGATATCTCCTTCAGCGAGGCGCTTGAAGATGATTTCCAAGAAGGGTTGAGGGCGGGCAAGGAGGAAGCTGAACAGACACTTTGCGCTTTTAAAAGAGACGAGACACCCGTTTTCAGGCGTTCAAACCAAAGCACGCAGCTCTGCTCTGTGTATTTTCCTTTTCCAAGCTGGGATGACTGAATTCAAAGAGGGAAGAGGAAGAGATGGGAACAAGATGTGCTGAAGCAGGAAGCTAACCCTCACAGGAGGGATCCGAAGCCCTAACTCCAGTCCCTGGCAGAGCCGCAGGCTCAGGAGCTCTCGAGCTACGCCCAGGGACTGGGGAAGCTTTCCAGACAGCCCTCAGGACGGGCGGGAAGAGAGGCGAGACCTAAAATCACCCAGGGCCACACCAGCACAGCGCTACAATAACAGCAAGGGGAGGATGGTGGGGCAGGAGGGAAAATGCCAAGGTTTGATGCCAGTGGGATGGCAACCTCAGTCCAGGCTGGGTCAGGTTGGGCAGATGCTGTGTTCTAGCCTACACCGGCCCCAACCCCCATCTCCCCGTGCCCTCGGGGGCCCAGTGAACACAGGGTGCCAGTTCTCCTAAAGCAGGGAGGGAGTTGGAGACGTGAACGTCTCCTGGCCTCAGTTTGACCAACTGCTTTTGGCTTCCGGCCAGGGTAAGGATTGAAGTGAAGCCCAAGGATAACTGGGGCCGTGGTCCCGAGTACGACCAAGGTGACACCAGCACAACCCTCTGCTCGCTGGTGCCGCGGTTCCATCGTTTCTACCCCAACACAGCCCAGTGAAAATGAGCCTGAATGGGGCACCAGCGTTCAACAGCCCCGACCGTGCTCCGGGCAGGTCTGACGAGCGGTTTGAGGGGGAGAGAAGAGCAGTGCTGCTCACACGCTTAACGCTGGCTTCCAGCACCAAGAGCACGGTCTGGTACTGGCTCCGAACAAGGGGGCACAGAGACATCGGCAAAGACTTCACACACGTCAGTCGGTCCCGTCAGTAACACCTACAGCGCAGGGCTGGGGTAGTCCCACGCTGTGGTCACGGGGCACTTGGCAAACGCAGGGAAACCACCAACAGCCTGAAGGCCTCATCCAGGCCTGTGCAGCCCTCGTGGGATCTGGCCGGACACCGGAGAGGACCCGACGGCTCTGGGCTTTCGTGTACCCTCACCAGCTACGAGGCAGGACGCTATCCCGCAAGGCAAACGCCCCCGTGCCAAGGCGCGCTTGTCTGCCTGGTGTTCAAGGCTCGTCCTGCTCTCCGAGTCACCGCCTGCCCCTCGGCACCGTACCCATTTTAGATGCTGGAGTGGAAGAGAAGGATGGAGGCAGAAGTTGAAGGATAAGCAAAACTAAACAACTGCCTGCTAGAGACAGCCCGTCAGCAGCAGTGCTCCCCCCAAGCAGGATTTGTTCCTCACATCAGCCGGCTAGAGAGTGGTGTAGGTTTTACCAGGGGGTGTTTGTTGGCCTCATCAAGGGGGAAGATGACAGTTTGGGAATTTATTCTTGTATCATCCTGCGGACAAAGCCCTTCGCAAGCACCTTGTATGGCTTTCTCAGGTGTCCCCTCCAGCCAAGGATTAGTGTCACTCAAGAAAGCAGCGAGCAGCAAGCCCTACTTCCCCGTGGAAGGCGGCTACAAGCTGCCCGGTTACAGCACCAGCCCCGCAGTACAGCCACAGCAGCAGCTGTTCAGAGGGTTCACAGGAAGCACCAAAAATGAAAAATCCTGTGCTTTTTATTGCAGGTTTGGGGTTAGTGTTGTGGAGAGCACAGCTGCATTAGAGGCAGGTATCGTTCCAACTCTCCTTCCCCACGAGACTGCCACAACTCAGCCCCAGGCAGCTCCAGAAATTGCGCCGGGTTTCGCAGTGCAGACAAGTATTCAAGTGAGGCCTAGACCCTCACGTCACTTGCCACTGAACAACAATAATGATCCAAGGCTCGCAAAATGATGCGAAGGCCAGCGCGTTAACTAGCACCCCTTGCCCTGCTGGGAGGCACACGTGAGCTTGTTCCCAGCGCCCCGGCCCAAGGGTGGGAGCAGCCCTGCGAATGGGTTGCCCTAAGCTGCCCTTTCTGGATGTTCCGCTGCCTTAGTTTGGATGAAAGCCCTTGCTATGCTGTGCAAGCGACGAGAGGCCGCTCAGCTGGCAAGGAGCTGCTCTGCTGATCAGCTCTGCCAGCAGCCGGCAGCCCGGCCCAGCCGCCTGCGCCCTCCCTTCCGCGCCCTCAGGCGAGTCGCAGTCAGAAACAGAAACCCAAAGGCTGTCTCCTCATGCTGCCCACACGGCAACGAGCCCTCTCTAGTCCCTTCTCATAAGCTGACTACGTCTTTTTTTTTTTTCCTTTTCTCACCCCCCCCCCTACAGGGCAAGAGATAACACTAAAAAATAAAATAAAAATTCAAGGAACTTAAAAATTCAACACCACCTCCTTTCTCCACCTCTCTCAATTAGGATGTAATCCTCCCCACTGCCAGTGGCCTCTTCTATTCACCTGTAAAGTGCTGGTCAGGATGATTTGTTCTATTAGATCTCATGGCTCAAGACCCTGAAAACCTTCACGCTCCTACAAGAATAAACGGTTGTGTTATGCCTATAATTTATGGTATTGCCTTTTCATGCACATTTCCTTCTCTCGTGGAAGCCAGGACAGGGGCAGCGCCAGGTCTAGTCATCGACAGTGATGTTGCGGAAGAGATAGGCCATGGACTCGCCGTTGTGGATTCGTCGGATGGCTTCAGAGAGAATCAAACTGATATCCACAGTCTTTATCTTGGGGCACTGCAGCTTCTGTACCTCGTGAGGAACCGTGTTGGTTACCACCACCTACGGAGCGCCGGAAAGCAAAGCCTGTTAGTTGGGCCGCTGATAGGCTCCTCTCACTGAACAGCTACCCAAGGGGTGTGCACCTGCTGGGTCACAGTTCAGGGGGAGAAATCCTTGGATGTTAGGAAAAAAAAAATTAAAATAAATGGTCTCCCCCACAGGACAGTAACTCTGTTACGGGACCGGCACAACCAGCACTCTACAACAGCCACCTCCACCCAGGCTGACGGGTCCATTTAGATGGCAGGATCTGACATGTTCGTCACTAAGGGTGAGGTTTGGAATCTCATCCTCTTCATGTACCCAGCAGCCCGTCGTCAGCTGGGGGAGAGGGAAGGTAGGAGGTCTGTACAGCGAGAAAGCAGTCCCACGCACCCAGCCGTGGGAAGGGGAGCGTCCAGGCAGCGATGACTACTCTCTGTGCACCAGGAGAGAACACGCACAGAGAAGCAGATCTGACCTGAACAAGTATTAATCACACAGGCTTTTTCCCCCACCCCAGTGAAGAACCAGCTAACTGAAAGCATCTGATGAAACCAGTCACTTCAGAGATGAGCGACGTGGCAGGGGAAGAACAGCAGTTTGTGGGTTTTGGTGCTTGAAACCAACCCAGGCACCAGAGCCAGCCCTTCCTCCGCGATCCAGACAGCGGACGCACCTCATCGATGGAGGATTCCTCTATGAGCCGGGGGGCGTCTGCTGACAGGAGCCCGTGAGTAGCCATCACAAAAATCTTGTAGGCTCCGCGCTCCTTCAGGATCTCTGCAGCAGCCACAAAGGTTTCCACATCATCGATGATGTCATCCTGAGAAGAAACAGAAATAACATCAAACCCAGAAGTTCACCGTGGCTGCGGGGCAGGAGTGGATCTGCAAGGCCCTGCAGTTTGGCCGTGCATGCCGCTGAACAACAAAAACATCACTCCTGGCTACTTCAGCTGCTGTTGAGATGCAAGGACAGCCACGTGCACAACTGAAACCTGCGAACACCATCGATGATGTCATCCTGAGAAGAAACAGAAATAACATCAAACCCAGAAGTTCACCGTGGCTGCGGGGCAGGAGTGGATCTGCAAGGCCCTGCAGTTTGGCCGTGCATGCCGCTGAACAACAAAAACATCACTCCTGGCTACTTCAGCTGCTGTTGAGATGCAAGGACAGCCACGTGCACAACTGAAACCTGCGAACACCCTTTCCCTAATTTATGGACCCTTTTGCTAGCATGCAGAACAAATAGTGTGTCTTGGAAACAGATTAGTCACTGCACGTGCACACACACACACACACACACACACACACAGAGCTTATCTTCAGCAAGGTATTTTTTTCACGGCGATAGTAGCTGCATGTTGATTATGTACACTGCAGCACGGCACCAGTATGAGAAGCTCAGCAAGCTTTTTTGTTTCATTGGTTGGGTGGTTGGTTTTTATTTAAACACTTCAGGAGAATTCTCTGCATGTCTTGGATTTGTTGAGTACTTGTAGTCATCTGACATTTGTAGATTCAAGGAGATTTCAGGGCTTAAAGCACTGAAGTACAAAGGGTTTTCAACAGAAGCTGAAATAACCAAAGCCACCAGCAAAACCGGAGAAAACAGTGGTAACAATCACGCTCCCCCCCCTACACCAGCAATCCCTCCTACCCTCTGGGATAAACCAGCTCAAGAAAAGATGCTGGGAGGAAGCCACAGCCCCCCCATCACTCTCATACCACAATGATGGCAATTCTTCCTCCAACATCTCCAACCACAGTTATTGGCGGTTTCTCCTTGGCCATCATCACTAAAGAAGAAGAAGAAGAAAAAAAAAAAGCCCAGGTTAGTTAGTCCTGAGTCAAACCGCAACAGCTCCACCACACAAGGGGCCCAGCCCTTAACTGCATCTTGTACTGGCACACAGATACAGACACGTGCTTTACGTTATCCTGACACCCACCTACGTGGGTAACCACTGGTTTAACCATCGTTTTCCTCCTTAAATGAGCAGCACCGCCACAGAAAGATGAAACCCTCAGTTTCTGTGGGGACCACACACTGACATCAGAGACCGTAAGCAAATCCAAATATCTAACAGACCCCCGTGCAAGGAGAGCTACAAAGCAGCACCCAGCTTACGGAAAACGGCAGTGACTTCCTCTGTGCTCCAGAACAGGACTTGAAGAAAGAGGTATCATGATTGGGAACAACAAATGGGCTTCTCCCAGTAACACCTCTCCAAGGGCACCTGCTTTATTACAACGGGCTGCTTTTCACCTGCTGGACTCACTAGTTCATCTGAAGGATTTGAGACTCGCACTGCGGCTCGCTCGCTTTCTCTCCTATCACCAAACACACAAGGCTCTTTCAGAGGGCGTAAGGACCTTAATAATACCTGCTCAGGCAAAGAAAGCTTAAGGAAGTTTGCAGAAACAAATTTGTTGATTTTTTTTTAAAACTGGATTAATGGAAAGAGCAGGACAAAACCAGTTCAAACGCAGTTCTGCAAGCTCAGTGCAACCAGCAACTGGAAGGAAAAAGATACACTGATGAGCTGTGCTACCTGACGCATGGTGAAGAGATGCCCTGGGAAATAAGGCTCCACTCCCTCCTGACGCTACTTTGGCACTCACATGGTTCATGCAAAAACTACATGTGTAACAGGCTTTAACCTTTACCCAGAAAAACTTCCAGCAGCAGGATAAAAAAAAAATAACAGAGATATGAACTGGGATGCTCTGAGAGCGTCCAGACGTAACAGAGTCTTCAGACTCACACCAAACAGCAATCAGCCTCTGATACTGGCCAGGGACTCGCTGTCCAGAAGCCAAACCTCTCACTCGCCAGAGGGTGCTGGTTTATGTAGTGAACGCAGCACAAAACCTCCCAGCACAGAAAGGCCGTGGTGGTGGGCATGCACGTGTCACCAGGTGATAATCTCGGCTGATCTAACCACTGAAGCAGAGAGGAACATCCAGCATTTTGTAACACTTACCTGGCCCACTTGCACCCCCCGGACTGATACTCTCTACAGGGAGCGCAGCAAAGTGTCCTACCGAGGCACTTGGTACCCCTCCTCTTCGTCAGCTCAGGTCTTGCCAGGATTCTGGCCACAGAGGCTTCTCAAGAGCCGAGGCGTTTTGGACACCCTAGACAGCAAGATTTTTCTCCTTGAAGGTAACCTCCTTCAATCTAATACTTGAGCAGC